TCTAGTACACATCCCTAAACTGACATGTTAAGATTGAACTTAGATGGTCTTCCAGGATCTTCTAGAAAACTTTCTTCATATGCATTTCCCCCATCTTGGTTTATGATTATTTTACTCTGCCACTTTTTCATTGTACATCTTACATTCATCTTTGACTCTTTCTTCATGGTAGACAACTCATCAGAAATTCCTGTTGATTCCACCTTAAAACTACTTCTGAATCCAGCCATTTTTTTTGTTTTTGTTTTTACTGCTACACTGTGGTCTGAACCATCATCAAGTTTTTGAAGCTTAATGCTTCTACCTTGTCCTCTGTAGTATATTCTGTATACAACCAAAGAAATCCTTAAACAACATAAAGCATATCATGTTACTTCTCTACCCAAAATCCTGCTGTAGCTCTTTTTTTTTTTTTTTTTTTACAGAAAGCAGAATCTAAGTTCCTACGTGGTTCACAGTGCACTGAACAATCTGGTTCTGTTATTTCTCTGACCTTATTTTCTACTACCCTACCCTACATGCACTCTGCTTTTACTCCACTAGTCTCTGCACATCTTTTCACATGCCAAGGGTGCTCCCACCACAGTTTATCATGTACTCCTTTGCTGTGATTCTCTTCACTTACAAGACAATGTGGCTAACTTCATTGTTTTCTTCAAATCTTTGCCTAAATATCACTTTTAGAATGGAACCTACCTTACCCACTTTTTTCAAAATTGTGACTCCGACTGCCAGCATGTTTGATTCACATCACCTTTTTTTCCTTCTGACACTCCTGAGTTTTGACATATGATCTTTTTTGCCTATTTTTTATGGACTATTGTCATGTGTCTGTTTTTTTTCCTACTAAAACAGATTCCATATAAGCAGAGAATTTTCTTTGTTCATTGATCTAGCTCACTAAACCATTGCCTTACACATAATCAATTGGGCATTCAAAAAATTGTTGAGTAAGAATTTTTGTTTTATCAAATACTGTACAGTTTATGGTACTATTTAATATCCTACCTCTTCCAAAAAATGTTTTGAAGTGCCTTATGAAAATGTATATGGTACAGCAGAATAACAAAGATAGGAAATTGGGGGAAAATAAAATAATGATTATTAAAAAGTTGGGGAAGATTAGATGTTTTTAGATTTATTGGAAATAGAACACAAATTTGGTACTGAACCAAAAGGAACTTTCAAATTTTCATTGGCTAAAAATGATAACAAAGTTTTACAGATGAAGGACTGGTCATAAGTAGCTATGAGATTATGATAATATACCATAGTCATGCTATAAAATTAATAATTCAAATATGGTAATCAGTTAATATCCTGCTCTAATTTTCAGGTTTGAGTGAGTTATGGTACTAAATGGTTTCTCCTTGTCCCATCTGGGAGTTTGCCACTTAGGTTAAGGTCCAGTTTCATTTATAATGAAAGTCAATAGTATACAATGTTTGGCTTGAATGTAACCATGAGGTTCTTAAGTCAAAGAGAAAATATTATTCTAGTTAGCTGAAGAAAGAAACTAAAGATTGGATTAAGAAAGTTTCTTGCACAAAACAAACAATAGCTTTCATAGATACTTTTTCTTTAATGATTTAACTTTTTCTGACTTCACTTATGGTAGCTGGCTTGTGAGGTGTGTTTGCACATTAGGGATCATTGTCTTTTATTACTGATGTTCAGTGTCTGAAAAAGCCATCATATTTCAATATTCTGTCCATAGGTTTTGGTGGTTTCTGATGGGAAGGTAAATTTAATCTCCATTTTTTTCATTTTAGCCGGAAGAGGAAATCCCAACCTCTGCCTCCTAAATCTGCATCTCAGAGTTCATACTTTATCATCTCCTAATCTCTGACTTTGATTGTTGCTCTGTACCTCCTGATACTCAGTGGGTGAATCTAGTACCACTCTGTCTTGTTCAGCATAGTAATCTCTGTATTCACCTCCACAATTATACAGTGAATACCAAAGTTAACTCAATGTTTTCTCAGTACCTCCTGAGAGGTGTGTGTGTTTCCTGTTATTCCTCAAATTTGTACCAGCATTAGATACTTGCTTTTCATCACTTCGAATCTTGTTTGGCCCTCCTTTTAACTCTAACCATTGCTATGACTATTTCTTGAATGTTTTGAATGCCTTTACTTTACTTCTGAGTGACTTTAAATGCACTTGTTTGTGCCTTTTCTCAGACTGGAACCCCAAAACATGCTTCTCATTTTCAGTTGTGGGGCACTTCTGAAGTCATGGTATAGGATGCGGGAAGGTACTCTGGACTCATGAGAGCATATACTAGAAATGAGGGGGCAGTTAATGTCTCCAGGATCCATAATTAATGAGCAAGGTTGATGGTAGAGAACTTTCGATGCTACTTATCATTGTGTAAATTACAATAACTTGATGAAGTATCCTTATAAGTCAGACCTTCTTACCCTAACTGGATTCTTTACCTGTCAAGTTATCCAACAAGTAACCTTATATTGCTACCTGAGACTTTCATGTCTTCAACCTAAAAACTGGTCTTCCTCACTCTCAATACATTCTTACATGCTCTGTTGAGAAATATAAGACTTTATAAGAATGACTTCCACATTTTTTCTATACTTCAAAATAGTCTGCTAACCAATTCCTACTCACTGTAGAAAGCATAAAAGTTTAAAAAATAAAGAAAAACTTCTGAAAATCATGAATTTACCTCTACTCTCCAGTTTTAAAAGAGATAAAGTATTTGAGTTAATTTCTCCAATTGTATTCTTGATTATATTCAATCTTAATACCTCATGTTCTTCCTTTATAGTCTTCCCATATCATATCTGTCCTCAACTTTGTCATGGTTTCTTTTGCTGACTACCATTGTATTCAAATTTCACTTTGTTAGAAAAAAAAAGCCAAATTCTATTTTTATACCATCTTTATTCCTATTAACCACAAGCTTTACTTATTTTTTTTTCATTCAGTTGACCATTTATTGAAATAATAGTCTATCTTATTACTTATTTAGTCTTTAAACCCTGAAAATTAAATTACAATCTCTACCAGTATTTGGAATGTACCATCTTAAAGATCAACAAAGGATAAGATCCTTAACTCTCTAATAGCCTTTTCCCAGTCATCATATTTGATTGCATTCCAACACTATCCAGTAAGTCTCAGTTTTCTGTGTTGACATTGTAAATACTTCTATTTCAAGTGTCCTCCTCTTCACATTCCCCAACCATTATCTCATTCACTCTCGGATGTTTCTGTAGGCTCTTTCTATGTCACTGATCTGGTTCATACAATCCAGTCTTGAATTATTTCTCACTTTTTGTATTATTTCTACTAGACTGTGAGTTGGACCTTAAATTTAATTTGTCTGAAATGGAACTTAGCATACTCATTCAGCCTTTCTCACCTTACTTCTTTCTTCTGCTTTCCTTGTTTTCTGAATAATAGCTTTCTTTAAGGTATTACTGAATTCCCAATTCCTCTTTGTATCTACCTTGTCTAGAGAAGAGACTAAAAAGCCAGTCGTTACAATTTACATAAATCATCTCATTTAATCTCCATAGTAATTAATATTTCATTAATAAGCAAACTAAGATTCAAAGTGGCCCAGTGAGTTGTTTAATGTCAGAGCTATCTAAGGATGGGAACCATGTCTTCTTGACACTAAAATCCTAGACTTTTCACTGTGTAACAGAGTAGTGAGCCTTAAATAGTAATATATTCTGAATCATCAAAGAAATATTCAACTATACTTTTATTTTTTACTGTATTTACTGATCAAAAATAGGCAAATACATTTTAGAAAGATTTCTTTAACAAGAATTTAAAGAAATAGACCAAGAATGGTAGCCTGTAATCCCAGTGATTTGGGAGGCTGAGGCAGAAGTATCACAAGTTCAAAGCCAGCCTCAGCAATTTAGTGAGGTCCCAAACAACTTAGTGAAATCTTGTCTCAAAATAAAATGTAAAAAGGGGTTGGGTATGTGGTTCAGTGTTTAAACATTCTGGGTTCAATCTCTAATATCTTCCCCCCTCAAAAAAATAAAAAGGTAAGGTTTAAATAAATAAAAGCTTTCTGTTAAACTTTGTTATTAAAACACGCTTAACCAGAAGAACATAATTCCCAAATTCCTAAGTAAACAGAGTTGTATTATATACTAGACTATGTACATGTTCACTAACATCTTTTATGTTGAGTTCATAGTTGGAAATAGTTGAGTATTTTAGTATGTGTTATTAGTTGGACATTTGTTGGTGCTATAGTCAATTCAGTAATTAAAGATAACCTTTAGGTAATGGCCTTCAGAGTTAACTTACATTTAGTAACTTACAAATAATCTAAAATTAAATGGAGGCTCAAAAGCTGCACTTAGTGCATAGCATGGAAATATCCTATGGAAGTGGGAAATTACATGATAGTTTTTAAGTATGAATTGTACTCTGCCCAAAGGATGAACCATCATTAGGCAATTGCACATTGAACAACTGTTTTTTAAGTACAATTTTATCCAATTTAGACCTAATGAACTTGGTAGATTAGATCCCTGATAAATTAAGATGCAATCAAAACCTCATTTGGATTCTGTGCCATCTAGGTCAAAAAGTTTAAAAAGTGCTAAGTATATTTATTTGGCATATGAAATACATCAACTTTCTTGTCATTCTTCTAGTTAATTATTTCATGAATATATATAGCATATAATTTGTGCTTTAAGGAGTATCATCATGTGGTGAGTGGTAGATGATGATATAAGAGACTTAGTTCTCTGCCCTCAAGGAATTTTGTTCCCATTTTTGCTAATTTTTTCAATTACTCTGAATGACAATTTTAAAATCAAATGGATCAAAAGAATTTTGAGTTCAAAAACAAAGTAAGTCTCTCTCCTAGCAGGAGAGTTTACAAAAGGTCTATAATAAATGGTAACAGGAATAAAGAGGCAAAGATGTGTTTTGACATTGTACTCTTGTCTCACCTACCTCAGAGGTGCAAATAACACTGTGGTTTTATTTGGAACTTTCAGGAAGGGGTCCAGATCATCATTTTTCAGGAAGTACAAAAGATGTATCAGAAGAAGCCCATGTCTGCTTACCCTGCAGAGAGGGCTGCCCCTACTGTGCTGATGACAGCCCATGCTTTGTCCAGGAGGATAAGTATTTGAGACTTGCTATCATCTCCTTCCAAGCCCTGTGTATGCTGCTTGACTTCATCAGCATGATGGTGGTCTACCACTTTCGCAAAGCAAAGGTAAACCCAGGTACCCTGGTTATGATCCTCCTTCTTTGTACAAAGTTATTTCTCTTTTTTTTTTTGCAAATTGAATTTCCAATCTCAGTTACTTCTCTGCTAAGCAGAAAAATGTTTCTATAATAGGATTAAATTAGAGCATGAAAAGTATATTCTTTACCTTCCAAAGAAAAATAATGGTTAATAACATGATACTTTAACATTTTGTTTACTGACATCCCATCCTCCTGCTCCCAGCACCAACATTTAGCATGCGGCTCTAGTGCTTCATTGCATTGAAGCATTCTCCTTTACATCTCTGTTTGTTCTTGATGGGAACTTGTTTTATCTATACTCAATGTATTGTTAGTTTTTTTCATATATAGAAGACGTGTAATTTTTTAAATATTTCTTTTATTTCTCTTAGTCATTTTTTAAGATAGTAAAGGACTCAACAATTTTTGAACACATTATACTCTGAAAAATTTATTCATGACCTTGTATTTGGTTTGTAGGATAACAGTGATCCTGGGAAGAACTTAGTTTTTTTAAATTCTTCAGTAACATTATTTTATTTATTTGATATACAAACTATTTCATTTCTTTGTGTTTGTTTTCAGAATATATAGCCTATGTTCAATAATTTCAATTCAAAACAAAACATTAAAATGATTATCATTAACATGTTTTGAAATAATTTTTTAAAATACACACTCACATATCTTAGTATTTTAGAACATATTTGTACTTTGATTATATTAAGACAATCAAATTTGATAGAAGGTTATTGTTCAACTTTCTAATATTAATTTTGTTAATTCCTTGGAATGCATGAATCATACAAATAATTGCCAATATAATTTTTAAGTACATATTCAAGTGACTTGCTTTAGTTCTGTTCTGAGACATCAGAGTAGTAGAAGCATTGTATGTTTCTCCATTAGGGGTGAATGAAATAATAAAATATTCAAGTTAGAGGTTTCTGGAGATCTTTCCTCAACGGTCACCCAACAGATTATATGTAGCCAGTGTTGTGTTAGAATTTGTGGTTCTGGTGATAATACAAAGTTATTGGAGCTATTAGGAAGAAAATTAAGCTTGAAGTTTCAGTCTTTTCTGAGCTCAAATGACATTTTTTTAAAAAGAGAGAGAGAAAATATGAATATATGAATCTTTTTTGTAGATGGACACAACACAATGCCTTTTATTTTTATGTGGTGCCAAGAATCGAACCCAAGTTGTGCTAGGTTAGCACTCTACTGCTGAGCCACAATCCCAGCCCTCAACTGACTTTTTCATGTTGGCAAAGTTGTACATATTGGTTTAGATTATAGAATTTATAAAATTTATAAAGTGTTCCAGTTAGAAATTTTAAAAAGAAATCAACTTTCTAAGAATGGTTTCTGTTACAAAATCTCAAGTTAACTTTTTTTAAAAAAGGCTCTGTTAAGATTCTAGGAGAATATATCCATTATGTTAATGTTATAGACTTCAATAGTTATTTAAAATAGACAGTTTCATTAACAGCAGCATGCAGCACAAATTAAAATGTAGCTTTGAGTCAGCAAGAAAGTGCAAATAGGCAAGTTGCTCTTCATTTAACTAATATGTGTTTTTTCTTTTGCAACAGACCTTATTAAATTGTATATATAATGAAAGAGTAGGCAAATGAAATTAGGAAATATATAAATACTCTATTCTAGATGAAATTGTTTTTTTATAAAAAACAATTGGTGGCAGAGCAGATATATTTATTGAACTGCTCTGAAATATCTCTGACATAATCAATTCATTTAAATAGTGTATAAAACACAATACTTTGTGAATATTAGTTTATTTTAATCATTAATGACTTGTACTAAATGAATCAGTGATACAAAGTAGATAGAATTCTATATTGAATATTAGAAACCTGTGGGGCTGGGGATGTAGCTCAAGTGGTAGCACACTCACCTGGTGTGCATGAGGCACTGGGTTCGATTCTCAGTACCACATAAAAATGAGATAAAGATATTGTGTCCACCTAAAACTGAAAAATAAATATTAAAAAAAGAAAACCAATGATAGAAAATTCTGGAAAAACCAAGTCTTAACCTTTGTTTATGTTAACATTACCAAAGTTATTAATAAGTTGAATATCCCTGAACCTTCATGTGAAATGGCAAGTTATTGACCAAACAGAGCTATTATTAGAATAGATATTCTTATAAACCATTTCAGTGAAATTTCTAGAGATTCAAACTAGTAAGAATAGATTACCCTTCCCTTATTCTTTCCCCTACATCTCTTTCTGCCTACCTTCCTTCATATCTTCTTCCCATTCATCATTTTCTGAGTATTTACTAAGTGCTTAGAAGAATTATCTATATTTGGTATACAAAAATGAACAGGATAAACAAGGGCTGGACCCTTAAGGAGTTTCTATTGCAATGTGGGGCTAGTGATGACAGGCAATAAAGAAGAATATATCAGGCTTTGATCAAAATGAAATAGTATCATGTGATATTGAATGACTTTGAAGTTATAGAATTCTTATGGCCACCATTTTAGTTGGGTATTATCCTCATTTTACATTTAAAAAAATCAAAACATATTATCTTAAGAAACTGGTCGATGTTACTTGGGGAAGTTAGAATTGGCACTCAGATCTGTTTGACTTTACAACTTATTATATCTTTTAGCTACTGTGCTGTACTATGTTCTCATATGTTATAGTGCCATTTGATCTTAAATTTTAAAGCAAATAGACCCAGCCAACCCTGCCCATTATAGTAATGTAAACTGTAGATGGGCATTAATTCTTTCTTTCTCTATATTCTGCCTCATCAAAACTTAAATGAGATGGACATCATTACCCTAGGTACATGTATGATTGCACAATTGGTGCATAGCTATACTGAGTATGCCCAGAGAATTGAAATGTTGCATTCCATTTGTGTACAATGAATTAAAATGCATTCTGTTGTCATGTACAACTAAGTTGAAAAAATAAAAATTATATATAAATAACTAAAAAACCCTTAAATGTCCTAATTCATTTATAATATACCCACTAACAAAATAAATAAAGTTCTTCCACACTCCCAGCTTATGACTTTGTAAATTCATTGGCTCTGCTTATTTCTGTTCTGCACACTTTTGAATTTAATGGCATTCTTAATCCCTTAACCCAAGGAACAAATTATATAATAATTGTGTGTGTGTGTGTGTGTGTGTGTGTGTGTGTGTGTGTGTGTAAGTATCTGAATGTCAGAGTGGTGGTAAGGGTAAATATGATAAGAAGAAGAGTAGAAAAAATATCAGAAGAAATCTCTTTCTTTGTGTGCTGCCTAAGAAGCATCATTTAAATAACCTTCTACTCCATCTGGTGGCAGCAATGCTAATTATGAATTATGAAGAGCATCTAAAGTGACTGTAACATATTTATATATGCCTTCAGAGATATAAAATACTTAATGATTACCAGACATCAATTACCAGGTTCTCTTGAGGCCCTTGCATTTACTTATGTTTATTTATAAAGCCAGTTATTTATTAAGTAGGTTAAAAATAGCTTTTAAAAATTAATGGACTAGTTATAGTAATTTGCCTGCTATTTTAAAAATATTATGAGAGAGAAATAATTGGTGTTTTTTTCCAAATTCCTAGCATGTTAATTTTTTATTGGTTGTTCAAAACCTTGCAAAGCTCTTGACATATCATATTTCAAACATTAGTTTCAAGTGAGTTATGAACTCCCATTTTTACCCCAAATACAGATTGCAGAATCACATCAGTTACACATTCACATTTTTACATAATGCCATACTAGTAACTGTTGTATTCTGCTACCTTTCCTATCCTCTAGTATCCTCCTCCCCCCCATCTTCTCTTTCTATTTTAAGTCCATCAAATATTATGTAAGCAAAGGACTTTTCACAATTACCAATTCATGTCTTCATTAACCGTTTGTTCATTATTATTTATCAGATTTTCAAAAAAGATACTGGCTTGCGAATGAGAAGTTCACAGTTTAATAAGGAAATGTGAATACACACACATATTTATATACATACATTTATATATGTGTGTGTATAGATAGATCTACATATATCTTACCACTTATGTATATAGCGGTAAGTGCTATGTAGGAAAGTAATGAAAGTAGAGAAAGCACAGTAGAACTGGAGAGAACAATAGAGAAAGAGGAAATTTATTCAGGTGTGGTTGTTTCCAAGGACTTCTCTGAGGTGACAAAATTTAATCTGAGCTCTCAAGGATAACCAGGTTGGGGAGAGAGAATAATAGTAGTGGGAGACTAGTGTTCCAGAAAGGGAAAGCCACATCTCTGATGGTGCCAAAGTGTGAAGAAGCTTGGAGAATTCTAGAGGCCATCATGGATAGAGTACATGAAGAGTGGGAGATTGGCTAGGAGTGAACTTGGAGAGGTAGTTAGGAGCCAGTTATTCAGTATTCTAAAGCCATAGTAAAGAGTTTCATTTTATTAGAATTGCATTTGGAAGCCACTGAAGATTTGAGCCAGGAAAATAGATGATTTCGTTTATTGGATCCTGTTGATGGTCCTTTTTATTGATTATTAAACCAGTTTCTCAAGCTTCTCTGTATAGAATAGATTAGTAAGGGACAGGCATAAAAATAGGGGAAATGGTAAGCCACTGAATTAGTCTTGGTGGGGTCAGTGGCAGCAATATGAATAGGGAAGAGTGGCTAAATTTGAGGTACACTTGAAGATAGAACTGACAAAACTTGCTGACGAATTTGATGTAGGAGGTAAGAAAGAAAAGAAAAATCAAGTTTGATTCCCTGAAGTTTATAGTATGGAGAACTGGGTGAAGAATAGTATTATTTAGTAAAATTAGGAAGATAGGAAACAGGGAAGAGACTGTTTGAAGAATGAGAGAAGGAAAAATCAAAAGTTCCATTTTAGGCATTTTAAGTTTAGACAAACTTCACAAATGGAAATACCAGATTCTAAGTTATATTGAAATTTCACATAAACAATGAAAAAGGTTTTAGTATAA